CTCCTCCTGAACCCTTCCTTCTTTCCCAGCTAGTCAGTCCCTATCCTGTTTTCAGATCTCACGAGTGTGTCCTGCTGAATATAATTAGGGTTCCTTATGAACATGAGCAGGAGGGTTTTATGAACTCACCGAAGCTGTGATTACACCTCTTAAGACCTGCAGTGGGCCTACCAATGCCTTCATGAACTGTGGGGCAGAGGATGAAGCCCACCCCTCCCTGAGGAGCTGTGGGCAGTTAGTGGGTGCGATAACATCTCCGACAGCCAATGAAGGGAGGGAGGATTTCATAGTAGTCAACGAATCACTACACGGGTCAAGCTGTGGATTTGTTGTTGTTGGTGATGGTGGTTTCTTTGCCTCTGTCTCTCATGTCTGGTCCCCAAGATCACACACAGGAGGTGGAATGATTTTAGGAGCTCAATCCCTCTTGCTTGGTGGACCTCAGTTGTGGGTTTTCTTCTTGGCAGCTTGAGCTTCAAGGCTCTAGGCTCTTTCCTGCTACCCGCTGAGGGGGCAACAGTGGCTTCTGCACCCATGCCTTGGCCCTGGGTTCCCTGCCTCTCACGTGCTGCAACTGGCTTTCTCCCTCGTTCTTTAGTCGGAGCCTCTGCTCTGGGAACTGGGTGAGATCCCCCATGGTCTGGAGCTCAGCCTTGCTCTTCCTTCTCCATGTCTTGGCTACAGTGCTGACTGAGACGTGGCTGGAGCCTATGAGCTGGAAACAGACTTCTCAGCTGCTCTCTGTGTCCCTCATCTTGAGAACAGTGCTTGTACCTGCGAAGACTGTTCTTGAGCCCACCTGCTAGCAGTCCCCAGATCATAAAGTCCTCAGCGGGGACCTTACAGATTACACTCAGCTGTCTGCCACCCTTGGGCTCTAGCCTCTTACTGTACAATAACTCTTCAATGCCCTGTAGCTAAGGAATAGGATGAGAAACAGTGGTAATATAATAAAGATGATGGTAGGAATTATAATATGACTGATTGACAACTGTGTGCCGGCCATTGCCTAAGTACAGCACATGTTCTTGTTCTCATGGCAACAGTTGGAAAGAGTAATAGATTGTCTGTGTTCTCTGCCCTCCTCACTTGTTCCTCCCGCTTCTCCTCCACTGAAAGGGTTTTACACTAGGCCAATAACAACCTCCTAATGCGCAAATCCGACAGATGGTTCCTCCTCCTCCTGAACTCAGCATGGCTTCTGAAGGAAATGGAACACCAATAGACAGGGAGGTCAAAAGGGAACGTGGTGAGGGCTGATATTTAAGAGAAGCCACAGGCGAAGGAAGGTTCATAAAGGTGGAAGTGGTTTTCAAAGCCAAACTGATAGAGCAAGTCCCCAGCTCCCTTTCGCTGTCTGCTATAACCTTTTAAATGCTGTCTTCCTGGGGGAGTGGGCACTAACCCTCCTTCTCTACCCTCTCTAAGCTTTCCTCCTAAACGGTACCTATACAGGTGTCCTGCTCGGCTGAGGCCTTGGTTCCAGAATTCTAGTCTCTAGAACTGTGAGGCAATTCAGACAATTCTACTGTTTTGTTTGTTTGTTTCTCTTTGTAGCCCTGGCTGTCCCAGAACTCGCTCTATAGACCAGGCTGGCCTCAAACTCAGAACCCAGAGACCTACCTGCCTCTGCCTCCTGAGTACTAAGGTTAAAGGTGTGTACCGCCATTGCCTGTTTTTATTCTTTTTAAAAATTTTATCTTATGAGTATGGGTGTTTTGCCTGGAGGTTTGTCTGTGTGGTGACCAGAAGAGGGTGTCAGATCCCTCGGAACAGAGGATCCAGATGGCTGTGAGCGGCTGTGTGGGTGCTGGGAATCAAACCCAGGTTCTACTTTTTATTTGTTTGTTTTATTTTTGGAGACATGGTTTCTCTACATAGCTCTGGCTGTCCTGGAACTTGCTCTGTAGACCAGGCCGGCCTCAAACTGGCAATGGTCCAACTGTCTCTGCCTTCTAAGTGCTGTTCAACTATTTTAATCCACTTGGTTTGGGGTACTTTGATGTGGCAGGCCTGAGAAACAAACTCTCTCCCAGTTAACACTGGGTTTGCAACTTTCAATCCCCCCCTTAGTCTTTTTGTCAAAGAATAAAAACAACAGCAACAACAAGGTATCATATAAGCACTGAAGTCTCAGGAAAAAATACAATTCCCTAAACACTTTGTGTTCGTGGAAAACTTACTTCTTTTTTTTTTTTTTTTTTTTTTTTTTTTTTTTTTTTTTGGTTTTTCGAGACAGGGTTTCTCTGTGGCTTTGGAGCCTGTCCTGGAACTAGCTCTGTAGACCAGGCTGGTCTCGAACTCACAGAGATCCGCCTGCCTCTGCCTCCCGAGTGCTGGGATTAAAGGCGTGAGCCACCAACGCCCGGCGAAAACTTACTTCTTTACCTTGTGGTGAAACTTTGTTTTGTTCTTAATCTAACAAATAAAGCTTGCCTGACTATCAGAGTGCGGAGCTAAGCCACTAGTTAGCCACAGATGCCAGGCAGTGGTGGTGCATACCTTTAATTCCAGGATTCGGGAGACAAAGGCAGACAGATCTCTGTGAGTTTGAGGCCACCCTGAGCTACATGAGATTGAAGCTGTCTAAAAGAGAAACAAAGATGATCCCAGCTGGGCGGTGGTGGCGCACGCCTTTAATCCCAGCACTCGGGAGGCAGAGGCAGGCGGATCTTTGTGAGTTCGAGGCCAGCCTGGTCTACAAGAGCTAGTTCCAGGACAGGAACCAAAAAGCTACGGAGAAACCCTGTCTGCAGGCCAGAAGAGGGCACCAGACCTCATTACAGATGGTTGTGAGCCACCATGTGGTTGCTGGGAATTGAACTCAGGACCTTTGGAAGAGCAGGCAATGCTCTTAACCACTGAGCCATCTCTACAGAGCTAGTTCCAGGACAGGCTCCAAAGCCACAGAGAAACCCTGTCTCGAAAAACCACAAAAAAAAAAAAAAGAAAAAGAAAAAGAAAAAAAGATGATCCCAGAATTTGGGATCATATGCCTTTAACCCCAGCACTGCAGAGGTGGAGACAGGAGTGATGAGGCTGGGCAGAGAGGGATATGAGGCAGGAGGAGACAGGAGCTCAGTGCAGTCTGAGGATTCAGTCTGAGGTTTGTAGAGACAGCAGCAGTCTGAGCATTTGTAGAGACAGGCTCACCCCTTTGGTCTGAGCATTGGTAGAGGTAAGAACTCTCTAGTGGCTGCCACTCTGCTTCTCTGATCCTTCAGCTCTCACCCCCAATAGCTGACTGTGTTTTTATTATTAAGAACAATTAGAATCCATGCTACAGTAACTCAGCTTTGCCAGTTTTGTTCCAGTCCCCTCACATTTAAGAGTCATATGACAAAATATAAACACTCATTGCATCTTTTATATGTTCCCAGACATCTTCCTCTAGTTTCTGTGTTCCTTGGGGGTCATTTTATAAAACTGGCCTAAAGAATAATTAATTCACGACAGCCTGTCTCAAGGAAACACAGGCAAAGCATGGAAGTCCTGGGTTAAATCACAACATTAGAGAGGGAGGGAGGGAGAGAAGGGGCACAACAGAGCATGACCGTAATGTGTAGAAACTAAAATGACAGTAAGCTTTAATGAAAAGTGAAATTCTCACGTTAGGTAAGCTATTAATGTTCGTAGAAACTAAAATGACAGTAAGCATTAATGAAAAGTGAAATTCTCACGTTAGGTAAGCTATTAATGTTCTGAGCACCTAGTACTTGTTAGTCTCAGTTCTAATTGGTCCCCTACAAGGGTACAGTCTGCGCCTTTTCCTGTGTATTGTACAGGTGAGGCCTAGTCCCAGGATTCTTAGTCTGCACCTGTCATGGCTGCACTAATGTTAAGGAAGGCCTCTTCAGGTGGACAAGAACTAAGAGACGCACACTTAGCTTTGTGGGAGGTGAGGGGTGTATGAGGCAGCTGGATGAGAGAAACGAACCGGTAAGAGGTAAGAGAAGAGGTGTTCCCTACAGTGCCATCTTGATAAGCTGAGCTAGAGATTTCAATTCCTCACAGAGAAAACACGACTCAAAAATAAATAAATAGGTAGAAATAAGTGTTTTACTCTTTACTTTGTGATTTCCGTATTGAACTGAACTGCAAGGCATTTAGGGAGTAAGGGCTGTAGATGCCCACTGTCAAAGGCAATATGTTTAGTGGTTAAGGCTGGAAGCCGTGAAAATGGAAGCAGCAGCGCAGAGATGACCTGCTGTGATAAGTCAATCTTGTCAGCTTGATACTATCTAGATTTACCTGGGGGCCTAGCCTGTGGGCAGGTCTAGGTGGAATTATCTAGATTAGGTTAATTAGGATGGCAATAAACATCAGGGGCACCATTCCTCGGACTTAATAATGAGAAAGGCAGCTGGGTCCTAACATTAGTGGCTCTCTGCAGATGAAACGTGACCAGCCACCTCCTGCCAAGCCTCCTCGCTTTGCCGGGCTTCTCCGTGGGTCAAAACGAATCCTTTTCCTTCCACCGTTTCATTTTTGGGTCGGGGTATTTAATCACTGCAACAAGCCACCTGCTTCCGTTTGATAAACTTAGCCAGATCACCTTTGGGGCTAACTGTTGCTATCTAGGCCTGACACCTCCCAATCTGATCAGAGATCGGGCCCGGGGCCATTCGCCCCTGCTGTCCGTGAGGTGACAGCTTTGCCCCAGGCCCTGCCCGGGCCCCAGCACTTGGGACCTCCGTGACAGCCGTCTAGAGGACGCGGAACGCCCACGCGGAAGATGCTCAGAGTGGATCCGCGAAGACCCCGCGGGAAAGCCACGGCAGAGGAGGGGCGGGCAGGGCCGGTGCACGGGAGGGGCTCCCCATCCCGGCGGCGCCCCAAGGGCCAGCCACGTCGCCGCGGGCTGGGGTGGGCGGGGCCCGTGGGGTGGGCGGGGCCCGCGGGTCACGTGGCGGGCCTCCCGCGCGCACCGCTGGAGGCGGTGCCCGGTCTCCCCCACGAGCCGTGGGGCCCGTGGCGCGCGGGGCATTGTGGGCCGAGGGGCGGGGGTTGGGAAGATGGCGGCTCCCAGCCTCCTGAACTGGAGGCGGGTTTCCTCCTTCACCGGGCCGGTGCCCCGCGCCCGGCACGGACACCGAGCCGTAGCCATCCGGGAGCTGATGATCATCTTCGGCGGGGGCAACGAGGGCATCGCGGACGAGCTGCACGTCTACAACACCGGTAGGCGGCGGCTCGGCGACCCCGCCTCGGGGACGGCGGCGGCGGCGGAGCTGGGGGAGGGGAGGCGCGGCGGACGCGGGGCTGACAGCTGTCACCGCCGGGGTCGCGGCTCCCTCGGCCGGCTGGGGCAGGCGGTCGGTGGGGAGCGCTCGGCCTGCCGGCTGGGTGGCTGGGTGGGCGGCAGCCCGAGCTGGCAGCGTGCCGGAGGGCGGCTCGGTTTCCCCGGGCTCGCCGGCCGACATGGAGACACCCCGACCCATCCGTGCCCGCGGACCCGAGTGAGACGGCCGGTTCCACGGTCTGGGCTTCTCCCCGCTCCCACCACCCCTGGCTGGTCACTTCGGGGGACCGAGATCCCGGCCACTGTCAAACACAAGCCACCCCTAGCCGGGCTTCAGTAGTCTTTGCCTTCCCCGTTCTCTTTCGGGAGAGGATTGAGGGGCGGGGAGGTCTTCGGTCCTCGGTATCTGGCGGAAGCCGGGGAGACTTTTTCTAAACTGGTAGGGAAGGGATTTGCGGTTGATGGGTGTCTGTGCTCGGCTCGGCTGGACTGGTCCTCGCCAAAGCGTGAAGGTCCTCACAGAGCGTGAAGTGTCAGGGCGACAAGCCTTTACCACCATGCAGGGTAGAAATTTGTTTTCCCCACTAGTAAGTAGTCTAGCAATCATCGGAAACTAATAAGTAACTATACGGAGTTTGGGGTCGATCTAGTTCCCAACCACACAACTTTTCTCTGATGAAACAACTTGATCACAGTAGTCCTCTAAAGGCCAAATTCGGTAGGAGAAATTTTGTTGCTTTTGGTCCTCTTTGTTACCGCCCCTAATACTCCAGAATCAAAAGTTTACGAAGTATTTGATTCGGTATACTGTAAATACTATGGACTTAGAAAAAGTTACACCTGTTTAGACTCTTGCTTTGCTAGTTCAGAATCAGTATTAAAAGTTACCAAGGGTGCTGGAGAGATGGCTCAGAGGTTAAGAGCACTGGCTGCTCTTCCAGAGGTCCTGAGTTCAATTCCCAGCAACCACATGGTGGCTCACAACCATCTGTACTGAGATCTGGCGCCCTGCTCTGGCGTGCGGGCATACATCGAGGCAGAATGTTGTATACATAATAAATAAATAAATCTTTTTTAAAAAAAGTTACCAAACCTTTCTAAATCTGAGGTTTTCCATGTCTATAATGGCCAGGACACTTATCAGGATTTTTCTAGGCGCTGAATAATGCAAATCAGGGCTTTCAACAGAAACATTAGTGACATTTTGGCACAGGTGAGTTTTGGCCATAGAGACCACCTCTTATGGTATAAGATGCTTGCTGGTATCCTCAGGCTCAGCTCACTGGTAGCAGCCCCTCCTTTCCGAAAGTTGTAACAACTAAATATGATTGTGGACATTGCAAAGTCAGTACCCTCTCGGAGCAAAAGAATCCCCTTTGACTGCTACTAGAATACAGGCTAAGGATAGGTATGTATGTATATATATGCGTATATTTTGATTAGATGTATATATTCTTGATAATCTAATTATGAAACTCATGGAATGTTAGCTATTATTTGTTATAATTGACTTCAATATTTTTTTGGTAACTAGTTACAAATCAGTGGTTCCTACCAGCTGTCAGAGGAGACATCCCTCCAGGCTGTGCGGCCCATGGATTTGTCTGTGATGGCACTAGAATACTAGTGTTTGGGGGCATGGTTGAATATGGAAGATACAGCAATGAGCTATATGAGCTACAAGTAAGTGTGTTTGACATTTGTTATCTCAGTCTGAAGTGCCTAAGGAAATTGTCAGAAGTTTTAAGAAGAGATTACAAAATGTTTTATCAGCATGGGTACAGTAACAGATGCTCCACACTTTGTAGCCTCCCAGACGATGTTTCCACCTCACTGTGTCTGGTGACATTTACAGCTTAAAGATACCTGACCTTTAGCAGTCCTGTACTGCCTCAGGCGTAGGCTTCTGTGTGCAAGCGCGGTAGTCCTTTAGCTTCCAACACCGGCACCCTTGGACTGCTGGAACAGACTGCTGGCTCCTGCCTCTGGTGTTTGGAGCCAGTATTGTCCATGCAGGGACCTGGGCATTTGCGTGTCTAACCCAGAGCATGCTTTGAAAACGCGTGCCTCAGTATGAGAGGAATGGCTTCCTTTAGCAGCAGCAGTGACCCACCCACACAGTCATGCCGAGAGGTCACGGCTTCATATAGCCTTTCCAGATTTGATTTGCTTGTTAAACCGGAGCTTGTTCTTGGTGACTGTTCTTGATAGGTTCCAAGGGCCCTGATTATGAGGGTGTCTGCCACTGGCCGATGTAATTTGGTTGTATGTATTTCCAAGCAAACCACTATTTCAAATAGAGAAGATTCTCATGGCCAAAAAAAAAAAAAATTGGAATTTGATTTGTTAAATGAACTTTGTTTTAATGTGATTTAATGAAATTTGATTTGCTATTAAAGGTTAAATATTTAGCATGCATAGATTACCTAATATATAAAAGTTAGATTTCATGAATTACACCTTATCTTAAAGTTCTATATGTAGATACTTATTTTTTTCACTTGGAAGAAATTAGAAGTGATGATATTTATTATTATAAACTTAGTGTATCATTATGGAAACGTGTGTGTATAGGAGATTCATTTGAATGTCCGTTCTCTCTCTTTCTCACACACACACACACTGCTCTGTGACACAAATTTCACATAACCCGGGCTGCCATTAAAACTCACTTGGTAGCCAAGGATAGCTTTCACCTCCTGGTCCTCTTGCCTCACAAATTCTGGGGTTACCACAGACAGCCTTCCCAGGATAATCCTGTTAATTTCAGAAGTTAGCCAGTTCACTGGGCATAGTGTTGCATGACTTTTTTCTAGAACTTGGAAGGCAGAGGCATGCAGGTCTCTTGGAGTTTGCGGCCAGCCTAGAAGTGTCATGAAACTCACTGTGTGTAGAGTTCCTAGTGAGACCAAGTCTCAGTGTTAGCCCACGTTTGTCCTTCATCCCCAGAGGCAGTCACGGGTGGCTCACTGCTGATAGCACTGACATAGACACACTGCCTGCTTTCATATGGATGTCTTCTCTCATTAGGCAAGTCGTTGGCTATGGAGAAAAGTGAAACCCCAGCCTCCTCCTTCTGGCTTACCTCCTTGTCCTCGTCTCGGACATAGTTTCTCTTTATATGGTAACAAATGCTATTTGTTTGGCGGTTTGGCAAATGAGAGTGAAGATTCCAATAACAATGTCCCCAGGTATGCTTTTGTAGACAAGTGCTTCTTTGATGATTTAAGTTAAAATATTTTATCTTTAGTTACTACAAGGCTTAAGCTTATATTTTCATATTGAAAACTGACAATAAACACATATTTGTGTATTTGTGGTTTTCAGTCCCTTGAGAATATGTTTTCAAACTTCTTTTCTAATCAGAAATCATCTTAAATTGATACTTGCACAATTGCTTATGCCAGTATATTTGTATGTCTTGAGTGTGATTACCATTGGGTGGGTCATGCACAGCCCCAAACAGTCATGTGGTTTTTATTTTACAATGTGTTTTCTCCGAAAACTTGGTGTAGTTGGCTGTTAAGTGAAAGCCATTGTCCTCATGCTTCATGCAGTCTGTAAAGGTGTACTGCACAAGCAAGACTGTTCTCCTCCTTTCTTACGTTTTCTGTACGTTTCTATAGATGTCTTGCTTTTTATTTTTCTAATACTTACTTGTTTGTTTGTTTATTTATTTATTTCAAAATAGGGTTTCCCTTTGTAGACCAGGCTGGCCTGGAACTCGGAGATCCACCTGCCTCTGCATCCCTGAGTGCCAGGATTAAAGACATGTGCTGCCACGCCAGGCATAAGGGTTTGTTTGTGTGTTTAATTGTGTGTCTATGTGGGTGTTTGTGTGTCTATGTGGGTATTTGTGTGTTAGAATGTGCGTAAGGGTTTGTGTGTTTAATTGTGTGTCTATGTGGGTGTTTGTGTGTCTATGTGGGTGTTTGTGTGTTAGATATGTGCATAAGGGTTTGTTTGTGTATTTGTGTGTCTATGTGGGTGTTTGTGTGTTATATATGTGCATAAGGGTTTGTTTGTGTATTTGTGTGTCTATGTGGGTGTTTGTGTGTTAGATATGTGCCTGTGGGTGTGGGTATCCATTGAGGCCCAAGTGTCGGCTCTCTGTGGAGCGGGGGGGGGGGGGTTCCAGTTAGTTGTGGGCCAGCTGCAGTGGGTGCTGGCACGTAACTCATGCTCTTTGAAAGAGTAGGATGTGCTCTTGATCACTCAGCCATTTCTCCAGTCCCTAAACTTTGAAAGTTTATGTTCTAAACTGTTTTTTCTCGCTCATACTTGAGTAGAAAGTAGTAGGAAATTGAATTAGTTGTTACAAAAGTCATTTTGGAATTGGGAGCTAGCTCAGCAGATTGAGCTCTTGCCATGAAGTGTGAGGACCTTGGGTGTGGATCTCTAGAGCCCACATGAAGATGAAGTGTGTGCAGTGGCCAGCATGAACTCCCAGCTGACAGGAGGCAGAAACAGAAACATTCTGGGGAAGACTAGACAAAACAAAGGCAAACTAAACAAACAAGTTCCAGATTCAGGGACAGACCGCCTCAGTTATAAAAGGTAGAGTGATTGAGATGACCACCCCATGTCATCCCCTTGCTCACACATGCATCATACCACATGTACATGGGTTTACAAAAAACCTTTTTAAGAAAAGAAGCCGTTTAGGACAAGTTCAGTATGGTTTCTAAATTAAAGACACTGTCTAGGACATCGCTGTGACATTACAGTGTGCTGGAGGTTGCAAAGCAGTGCTTATTCCAGAGAGCAGTGTCTTCAAGGTGTTTGCCAAAACGCTTATCTAGTGCTGTGTAGTAAACTAGCGATGCAAAATTAATTTTACTGTGCTCAAAACTCTGTAAGTAAGCAAATCACCTGGCACAAAGTGATGGCTGACTCTTCAGTGGGAGAGCTTGAGCGGTCACCCCACATCTGGGAGTCAGCTGAGGCGGCTGAAGGACGGAGTCAGTGGGGCTGTCACCCCATATGCCTGTGGATGGCTCTTTCGTGACCGGATCTCGTATGGCCCTGGCAGACTTTGGACTATGTAGCCAAGAATAACTGAGCTCTGATCATCCTGCCACACTGAGCGCTGAGATTATAGGGCTGTGCCGCCATGTTTGGTATATATGTTGCTAAAGACTGAAACTTGGGCTTCCTGCATGCTGGGTTGGCTTTCTACCCAGACCATGGAGTGGCCTTTCAGTGTGTGGTTGAGAGTTTCACAAGCAGTATTATAGTAAGAATCTAATATGTGTGTGTGTGTGTGTGTATGAATATGGCCTTTCACAAGCCAGCCGTGGCACCTTGTTCAGAGCATCACAGATCAGACTAAAATACAGGGGAGAGGAAATTCATGTCCTGACAGGCTGTGTTTTAAGACTGTCACCGTTGTATTGACAGATGTTTTCCATCTTCACCCTGGACACAGTAGAGTGATAGATCTGTGTGGAATGAATGTCTGGAAGTTTTGCTTACTTTAGTGCCTTTCTTTACTATGTGATTTTTTTTTACAATAAGCATATGATGGACATTTTTTCTTTTTGAAAATGTTTGTGTGTCTTCTGTGTGTTTGCATGGGTTTATTGCACAGTGTGCATGCAGATGCCTACAGAGGACAGCAAAGGGCATCAGGTCCTCTGTAACCGAGTTCCAGGTGGTTGTAGCCACCAGATGTCAGCACTAAGAACCCGCTTTAGTCCTCTGCCAGAGCAGTAAGCTCTTCTAGCTGCTCTCAGGCCCCCTTTTCTTTTTTCTTTTCTTTTTTTTTTGACGTAGGATGTCTGGTTCATACTGACCTGGAACTCATGGTCCTCCTGCCTCAAACTCTTGGGTGATGAGATTATAGACACATGCCACTGTGTGGCTAATATATATTTATGAATTGAAATAAAAAACAAATAAAACATACATATCATCTGAATGTTTTCATTTCTTTTGTGCTATCTTAGGTATTTAAATGATTTCTATGAGCTGGAACTACAGCATGGTTCTGGTGTGGTGGGCTGGAGCATTCCAGCCACGAAAGGCATTGTACCTTCTCCAAGAGAATCCCACACTGCTATTATATATTGTAAAAAAGACTCCGGGAGTCCTAAGATGTATGTGTTTGGTGGAATGTGTGGTGCTCGCCTGGATGACCTATGGCAGCTTGATTTAGGTAATCTTAATTTGATTCAGGAATTTCTTAGGATTGGTAAAGGAAAAATTTAAATGTATTTGTTTTTGTAAATATTTATTATAGTCAGCATTTACAGTCTCAGGAACAGCTGAGACATGATTAGTCACTTTGAACAATTGAATGTTCAATTTATGGTAGTAAATTTCCTATGTTTCCTTTAGCACCCACCATAGATTCTGGTTGTCTAGAATGGTCCACGTACATGCTTATGGTCCTCTGTAATTGTTAGTGGGACCGTCTTTCACCCTGAGAGGTATCTGGTTGGGTTACTAATTTCTTTGGTTGTCCTCCCTGTCTATGGGAAGTGTGACTTTCACAGAATTGCTAACGAGTGGGAGACCTGAAGGCAGCTCTCTGAAAGTGAATAATTGAAAATGTGCTTCTCATTTTTCACTGTCTTTTAAATTTATTTAATATGGTTAAATCAAAAGTATTATTTGTCATTTAAAATTAGTGACACTTTAAGCACAGCTCTTCAATAGAAATGTTAAATTCAGTGTAAGTAGATTTCTGATTGGATGTGCTTGTGGTCTGGGAATGTTTAAGATGAATTCAGATAACTGATTTGAAACGTTTTTGCTTCTTTTGGTAAGTACTTTTGTTTTATTTTTTTAAGTGTGTAAATTGAGGTGATTTGCTATCATTGGATCAAATTCCTGATTTTCTTATATTTTTTTCTAGAAACTATGTCATGGTCAAAACCAGAAACGAAGGGGACAGTGCCACTTCCGCGGAGCCTTCATACAGCCAGTGTTATAGGAAACAAGTATGGCTTCCTTCTCTTGTTTGCCTTGAAAGACTGATACAAAGAGAAGTAAAGATGGTCCTTCCTTAGAAATAGATTCGCAGACTTAATAATACCTTGTTATGCTGATCACAGCTAAAGTAATTTGTCGGTGGGAGCTGGAACACCTGTCTGGGTTACCTATTTAGCTTCCTCTCCGTGCCTTTCCGGGTATGGCACGACCTAAGTGTCAGCGGGTGTTGCCAAGCTGCTTTGTCCTCTCTGGTTAGGTTCCCAGCGTCTGCACAGGGCTCACATCCATCAGAAACTCCAGTCCCAGGGAATCGGAGACACCAGGCATATGCACATATGCAGACAAAACACCCATAGAAATGAAATAAAATGTTTTTTTTTTATTTTTTTATTTTTTTTAATAAAATGTTTTTTAAAAAATTTAAGAAAAGCTGTTTGCTGCTCTAATTGGCGATGTGTGCCTAGGAGAGCAGGGCCTGAAAGTCTCATACAATAGCTAACTTTATTTGGAGCATTGGACAGTTTACACTCTGAGGGTTAACATGAGTAAAGTGTTGAGTCAAAAGGACACATGTGGCAAAACCATGTTTTTCCATAGAGGCATATGAATAACAGGAGCTGGAATTAAATGCCTATCTGCTACACCTGGGAGGAGATGAAAACACACTCCAAGAACAATTCTGTATTTGAAAAAACTGAGGCCACCAGACTCTTGTTTTCGTGGAGTTTTTCCACAAGCACTCAGAATTCTCACACTGCTCCATTCTCGGACAGTGTTCCGACAAGGGCCTCTAGACTGCTGGAGAAAGTTTAAGGTGGTCTGCTTTCTGTTTTTAACAGTGCTGGAGTTGGAACTGCACACTTAAACCCATCTCAGTGTCCAACCAACATGCAGAACTGCATCACCAAACCTTTTTTCCTTTGAAGACCAAGTCTCCCTAACTTGCCCAGGCAGACCTCAAAGTTGTGATCTTCCTGCTTCAGCCTCCCTGGGAAGCTGGGCTTGTAAGCCTGCACCACCATGCTTGTTCCAGCATCCTTCTACCTTAGCCTCCCGCACAGCTGGGGCTCCAGGCATTCATAGCCAGGGCAGGCTTAAAGTTGTCATGTTTAAGTAACAGCAGTGATCCAAAGCTAAGTGAAATTTCATCTTTTTTGATCACTGTCTTAGTTACTTTTTTGTTGATGTGTTGAAAATACCCTAACAAAAGCAACTTAGGAAGGAAGGGCTAATTGGGCTTACAGTTGCAGGTGAAAGCCCAGCATTTTGGGGACCTGTGCATGTGCAGTTAAAAAGCAGAGATGGATGGGTGCCTGTGCTCTTACTAAGCATATGATATAGTTGAGACATTGTTCACTTACACTTCCTCGACGGAGTGTAATTTTGGTTCAGTTCTGCTTTATAGAGTTGTCAGGTTTATTGTTGTTGAGACAGGCTCTTGTTCCATTCCCTGTGGCCTTACACTCATGAGCTCCGAGCATCCTCCTCTTTCCTAGATGTGTACCACCCTTGCTTACAATGGTAAACTCTTTTATGAAAGGACCATTTTATTCATTTTGTCTATACAATGCTACCTTTACAGTGTGGTAGGTGAAGAGTTCTGAAGCTTTAAGCCGGCAAATAATCTTGTTCTTGTGTTTCCTATCCAGAAAGTAAAATTGATGCACTTGTTTATTTTAAGTCCTTGGTTCTCTTCTGTCACGCAGGATGTACATTTTTGGTGGATGGGTTCCCCACAAGGGGGAGAATCCTGAGAATTCACCTAATGATTGCGAGTGGAGATGTACGAGCTCATTTTCTTACCTGAATCTAGGTGAGTCTCGAGACTTTCTCATTGATGTAATAAAGTCATGTTTGCTGTTTGTTGCTTAAGAGCAATAACTGAGTCATGGAAATTTCTTTCTTTTTAGATACAGCAGAGTGGACCACTCTAGTGTCAGATTCTCAGGAAGATAAAAAAAATTCAAGGCCAAGACCACGAGCTGGACACTGCGCCGTTGCGGTCGGCACTCGACTGTACTTCTGGAGTGGAAGAGATGGCTACAAAAAAGCCCTCAATAGTCAAGTGTGCTGCAAGGATCTCTGGTATCTCGATACTGGTACGTAAGAGTGCGTAATGAAGTTCTTCATACAGATACTCAGCATCTGCCTTTAAAGACTGAAAAGGAATCCTTACAATTAGAAGTCACTGGGGGGAATATGTAACGCTCCCCACTTGGAAGGAGGATTTTCCTTCCTCTCGAGTGTAGGATGGATTTAAAGATTCTTTTCCAAGGCGCAGAAGGGGAGAACTGTTCTTAGTCTAACAAGTGATCCAGGTTGTTATCAGTAGTGCTAAATTCTATTCATATCATTTACACCCTGATAAGAATGTGCTGAGAGCTGGGAAGTGGTGGTGACACCTTTAATCCCAGTACTCAGGACGCAGAGGCAAATGAATCTCTGAGTTTGAGGCCTGCCTGATCTACAAGAGCTAGTTCCAGGACAGCCAGGGCTACACAGAAAAGCCCTGTGTCTAACCCTCTCCCCTCTCCCCAAAAATATGGCAAGAAACACTCCACCCCTGTGGTACTTGCCTACAAATCTGTAACCCCAGTATTATGGTGCAGAAGTACCAGACAGCCTCAGATTAAAGGGCATTTTAGGTCATTTGCTAATAGTTATATCAGAAGTTTTAAAGTGGGGACCTGCAGTATATCTAACCAGGTTCTGACACTTGTTGTCCAGTCTCAGAGCATGAACATTTAAATGCCATCTTCTGAAGGTCTCTGCAAGATTTGAAGAATACCTAACTAACTGAAATATATCTCTATATATCTAGAAAACCTAACTAGCATGACTACAATTCTGACTATTATAGATGGCTATATATTGACCTATATCTTTTTTTTTAAATATTTATTTATTTATTATGTATACAATATTCTGTCTGTGTGAATGTCTGCAGGCCGGAAGAGGGCACCAGACCTCTTTACAGATGGTTGTGAGCCACCATATGGTTGCTGGGAATTGAACTCAGGACCTTTGGAAGGGCAGGCAATGCTCTTAACTACTGAGCCATCTCTCCAGCCCCATTGACCTATATTTTTAATTATACATTTTTAAATGAACTACACAAACACAATACTTTAATCAAGATCAGAAATACACACACATATAACAAAATTGACCTTAAATTTGTATCAATAAATCAAGATCCATACCAATGTAAATTATTCATATCTATATCATATCTCCCTTTAAATGTAAAAGAACATTTATAAACAATATTTGGGAATATGGGTATAATTAAATCACTGCTTGGCTCATTAGCTTTAGTTTCTTATTGGCTAAGTTTTACATCTTAATTTAATCCATTTCTATTAATTTGTGTATCACCACGTGGCAGTGGCTTACCTGGTAAAATTCCCAGCATCTGTCTCTGGCGGATCTATGGCATCTCTCTGACTCTGCTTTCTTCCTCCCAGAATTCAGTTCTGTCCTCTCTGCCTACCTAAGTTCTGCCCTGTCAGACCAAGGCAATTTCTTTATTCATTAACCAATACAAGCAACACACAGAGGGGACTCCCACATCAAGCACAGGCTCCAAAGCTAGAAAAAGAGAAAAGTACCAATGCCTGTAACTCAAATTATATTCCTTATATTTCCTAGGTTTCTGTTTTGAATCTTTTTTTAACATGACCTTTTCACTTCCCCCTGCCTCTAGAAGCATTTGTAATTTTTTCCCCTGTTCCTGAAATTTTAAATTTTTATAATGCTGCTGGTTTGTTTCTGTTCATTTAGATGGAGTCTTCCAAAGCAGCCTATGAGGCCTCACACGCACAGCCCTCCTGCCCTAGGTGTGCACCACCATCCACTCCTTGCTTGCTTCTTTGTCCTTTTCTTTTTGTTTTTTTGTTTTTTTTTTTTTTTTCGAGACAGGGTTTCTCTGTGGTTTTGGAGCCTGTCCTGGAACTAGCTCTTGTAGACCAGGCTGGTCTCGAACTCACAGAGATCTGCCTGCCTCTGCCTCCCAAGTGCTGGGATTAAAGGCGTGCGCCACCACCGCCCAGCTGTCCTTTTCTTTTTAAAGGAAATTTTGTTATGATTTTTTAAAATTATTTGTAGGAATATGAGTCTGAATTTTAGTGTTTGCAGGGGGCCTGGGAGCTGCAGATGGTTGCGACCCACCTGGCCCGTGTGCTGGGATGGAAGCTCGGGTTCTCTGGGGAAACGCTGGTGCTACAGCCATCTCTCCAACCCAATACCTGGTTTTCATCACTGTGATAAGTACTCAGTGGGCCCTTTCAGTCTGGAAACTCATGGTCTTTAGTGTGTTAGAAATTTATTTCAGGATTTACATTTTTAAAAATTCCCTCCATGTCCTCCCCTTTAATATCTGGTCTACTTCCTGGACTTTCCCAAATGTTTGCTTTAATTCAGCTGTGGGCTGCCATCCTTTGAGGGATATAAACTGCTTGGGTTGCTGAAGGGGTAGTGGGGGACTTTACATAAAAATTGTTGAAGGAACAGGCCTCACTGTCTCCTGACTCACTTTGAAGCATGGAGGTAAGCCTAGGGAAAATACGCTAACAAAGAGTACTGCTGTATTTCCACAAACCAGTTTAGGGAATAGGCTTGGACTGGCTGTGGCTTCTTGGACGTATGTTGTTATCATCAGTAAAATGATACATTTGAGGTTGAAGAGATGGCTCAGCAGATAAGAGCACAGGCTACTCTCCCAGAGGACCAGAGTTAATTTCCAGCATCCAACCATCTGTAACTCCAGGTCCAGGAGATCCGACACATTCTCCTGGTCTCTGTGTGCCAGGCATGCACACGACACACAGATACACATGAAGGCAAGACACCTATATACATAAAGTAATGATTAAAATATTTTGAAGAGGTATTTTGTTGAAATACGGAGCGGCGGGCTGTGTCCCGCCACCCGGCTAGCTTTACCCAAAATAATTACACGGAAACTGTATTCTTTTAAACACTGCCTGACCCATTAGTTTCAGTTTCTTATTGGCTAGCTTTTACATATTGATCTAACCCATTTCTAATAATCTGTGTAGCCCACGAGCTGGCTTACCAGGAATGATCTTAACCTGTGTCTGTCTGGAGTGGGAGAATCATGGCGACTCCCTGACTCAGCTTCTTTCTCCCAGCATTCCGTTCTGTTTACTCCGCCTACCTAAGGGTTGGCCTATCAAATGGGTCTAGGCAGTTTCTTTATTAATAAGAAATCACTCCCACATCAGTATTTAAAAAATGAAGTAGATATCGGACTTGCTCTGGACAGCTGAGAAATCACGAAGATGAATTTTCTTAACTAACTGTCCAAAGCTAGGGACATACTTCCTCTCAGTTGTGAAGCTTGCTGACACCCTTAGTATACACGGAAGAGTGGACCAGCAATATGGTCATCAGGTACAACCTCAGATACTTTTTGTTTTTCGAGGCAGGGTTTCTCTGTGTAGTCCTGGCTGGCCTGGAACTCGCTCTGTTGCCCAGACTGACCTCAAACTCAGATTCACCTGCCTCTGCCTCTCAAGTTCTGAGTTTAAAGGCATGTGCCACCACCACCTGGCTATAATTTCAAATCTTAGAAGATCTGTTACTTGTTGTGGAAATATTAGCAATATTTTTTATGTTACTGATATTTTATACCAAGGTTATGTGTTTTGGGTAGTACTAATTTTGTTAAAGGGTAAAAACTTCATGTTGTTCCAAAATATATCCAAGTCATCTTTGCTAACAGCAGTATTTCTAGCATGTATGCTGTTGGTTAAAAATCAGTTCTTTTTTAAAAAAATATCACTCTAGTTAAGTAAGTAAGTAAGTAATTGTGTATACAACATTCTGCTTCCATGTATGCCCACATGCCAGAAGAGGGCATCAGATCTCATTAGGGATGGTTTTGAGCCACCATGTGGTTGCTGGGAACTGAACTCACAACCTCTGGAAGAGCAGCCAGTGCTCTTAACCACTGAGCCATCTCTCCAGCCCCTAAAAATCAGTTCTTTAAATTAAAAAAATTAAAATTCATGAAGGTAAAACACAAAGCAATAATTCTATAACACCCAGTCTCACCTCTCAACCTTTTAGACATGATTAGGTGTACTCGGGGGAGATCTTCAGCCTTCTGATCCTAATGGCGCAAGTAGTTTGGTATTGAGTTGTTTTATTTGTAGAAGAAATTGAATAAAATCAGAGCTTCAAACTACTTTGGTTTGTCTGTCTTTAAGTATCTTCAGCAAACAGGTGTGGTGTTCACTGCTGGTGTTTTCAAGTTCCTGCCCACCAAAACTGTTGGCAGACTGTGGTTGTGATTGAAACTAAAGGCTCTATATAATGTTTTTCCTTAGAGAAACCACCAGCACCATCCCAAGTCCAGCTGATCAAAGCTACTACCAACTCTTTCCACGTCAAGTGGGACGAAGTGCCGACGGTCGAGGGCTATCTCTTGCAGTTGAATACTGACTTGCCGTACCAAACTGCATCACCCGATTCTTCAGCAGCACCAAATATGCTAGGTAAAATAAGTGTCGTGCTTAAAGAATGCATGTCTGCTCGTGTGCTTTCTGAAAACACACTGCGAAAGTCCCATGATGATGCTTGGCTCAGGAAACTGCATGAGTTTTAAGATGCCCTGGTACATGACTGGCAAACCAGCTTGCCTGAGCACGAGCTCTGAACCTGGCGGCTATCTCACTCTGTCGTAGCAAATTCAGAAAGGTGCAGAGTGCTTTCCTGCAGCTCATTCTGTGGACTTGAGTTCCAGTCATGTTTTCAGTTATCTTCAGAAATACTTCACTGGTTTCCAGAAGTGTTTTTAACTGATCAGGCCCCTGGAAAGCAACAAAATTTGTTACAGTCTTTAGCAACTATTAAGTAACTATTAAGAAAGCAGATACACTTGAATAAAGATGGTATTTTAATCTTTAATGTGTAAATTTAAAACTGTTGACAACGCAGTTTATGGATGCCAATGAAGAGCATATCAGTGTGAACTTTCTCATTCCTACAGGAGGCAGGATGGACCCTCAGAGACAAGGCAGTCATAGCATCCTTCAGAACAGTGTAAGTGGGAGCTCCTGTGCTGACACTGAATGCTCGTGGGCCAGCCAGTTTGTGCCGAGGGTTTTGCATATTACTCTGAATAAGGGTCATTACTCCTTGCTCCATTTGAGAATCAGCTCTAAACTGTCCAGGCAGCCTGGTTTTCACAGGCCTGGGGATGAGGCTCAGTGTTAGAGTGCTTGGTGGCAAACACGAGACCCTGGATTCTGTCTCTAGCACCACAAAAATAAAAGGAGAAAAGACGTTCTATGATAGAAGCCTGAATTGAAATCCGTGTTGAAGAGAAGCCTAGTTTCATTGCTTATAGCATTGGATGCTGTTCTATTTGGATTGATACTTATGAGCCAGGTGTGGTGGTGTGTAACATGATGGCCTTCTTGTTGGGGTTTCTGTCCTGCCCAGTTCCCATAGCCATTTAGCCCCAAAGAAGATCACACAGAAGTCTCCATAAGTTATAAACTGATTAGCTCATTAGCTCAGGCTTCTTATTAACTCTTGTAATTTATATTAACCCATTATTCTAGTATATGTTAGCCAACAAAAGGCTCGGTACCTTTTTCAGCAGGGTAGGTCACATCTTCCTTCTTCCATGTCTGGGAGGAACTTCCTTCTTCCTAGGATACTCCTGTGTTTTCATTGCCCTGCCTGTACGTCCTGTCTGGTTGTCCCTCCTATACTTCCTGCCTGGCTACTGGCCAATCAGCGTTTATTTAAAACATAATTGACAGAATACAGAATTGTCCCACACCAGCTGTGTATCTGCAATCCCAGAGCTTGAGAGGTGGAGCCAGGTCAAGAGGCCAGCCTCAGCTATACTGTGGAGTTGAGCTAGCCTCAACTACACAAAACCCTGTCTCAACCAAAACAAAGTATTTTAAGTTTATATTGTGATATTCTTAGATGTCATATATATATTTATTCTGAGTCTATAAAATATAATTTAAGTATACTTATATATATATTTCATTTACCAAAGACTATTAGTAGCTAAGCTGAACAACTTGTGTAAAGTTACTTGTTCCTTATGAGGTGGTCATGGTAAGTATTTGTGGACGGTAATGGCCCAACTTGTTAAAATTCATTGTTTTCATCTGGGAAACTGCTGTTGCCATCAGTGGATCCTTTCCATGGAAAGGGATGAGGTATGGTCCTGTTTTGAGCATGACTGAGGACCAAGAATGTGAGAAAATATTGTGGATGTGCTCATACTTTGTGAGTAGCCTACTTTAGAAGATAAACTACATTTACGTTATAATACACATGTGCCATGAGTATTGTATGTGATATGTGTGTATATACATCATAAGCTGAATGGTATTGCATGGCTTGTGATAAGATGACTGCCTTGCCCCTCCCTGTTCTTGGATCGTGCTGAAAACAACTCCTTTAAACAATTCTCGCTTTCTTTTAGTATCTAACTATGCACGCTTGAATGAAATTCTAGCTGGGTGTGGTAACCTGCCTGTAATCCCAGCATTCAGGAAGCAGAGGCAGTAAGATCTCTGTGAGTTTGAGGCCAGCCTAATCTACAGAGTGAGTTCCAGGACAGCCAGAGCTACATAGACAAAAGAGCAACAACAATAAATAAAATTCTTATTTTGCTATGCCTTTCTCGCTTTTGATCGTGTATCTTCAATAAAAAGATAAGGAAGCTGGGAGGGGTGGTAAGTGCTTGAAATCCCAGAACTAGGAAGCAGGGACAGGAGGATTCTTGCCGGCTAGCCAGCCAAGCCTTCTTGGCAGATTCTAGGCCAGTGGAGGCCTCTTGTCTCAAAAAACAAGGTGATAGCATTCCTGAAGAACTGTAGCTGAGGTGTCCTCTGGTTTCCACACATATGTGCCTGTATGTTCACACATATGGACGTACATACACAGAAAAGGTAATGGAAGGCAAAGATTTGATGACGTCCCTCTCCACATTTTCCACTCTTCTCCAGCCTTGAAGTGTTTTTAATGGAGTTCAGTTTGATGTTTGTCTCATGATGGTGACGTCCCCACAGATGAGCCACACTGTACTTGATGACCGTGTTAGGATGGTGACGTCCCCACAGATGAGCCACACTGTACTTGATGACCGTGTTAGGATGGTGACGTACCTATAGATGAGCCATGCAGTGCCCCATGGTGTTGTCCATCACATACAGCTCTGCTTTTCCTGCTGTTATCTCCCTTTTTAGTTTTCTTTTTTCCTTGACTGTAATTAATTCAAAATCAAATTCCACCATCTAAAGCAATTTCTTTTCCTCTTTTTTTTTTTTTGTCTCCTGAAGCTCTTCTTCATCCTCTGGTCCAGGGCCTCTTAAGCTTTTTCAAATCACAATCTTTTTTTTTTTTCCCAAAATTTGTACAATCCAATGTGGAAGTATTTAAAATAATTATAGGAATAAATTATTTGCTAGTAATAATTCATAGAGAAGTATATTGTGTGTGTATGCAAGTGTACATTTGTATGATCACGTGGAAGGCCGAGGTCAAACGAGGAATCCTCAATTGCGCTGCACCGTATATTTAAGATGGCATCCACCTGAACCTAGGTGGTGTAAATCCAGCTGGTCTATCCCCACTCCTCAGCACTGGGGTTACAGGCATGCACCACCGCAATGCAGCTTTTCACACGGATTTTTATTTGGGTCCTGGGTCCTCTATTTGTGCTGAAAGTGTTTTATCAACTGAGTCGCCTCCCCGGCCTGAGAAATTGCTGTAAAGTAACGATGTGGTTTATATGCAGTTTTTCTGTTACTAAAGATAAAGCAAGTTTGCATACTGATTAGGTGTTGTATTTAGAACATCTTCAGTGTTTTTGAAAACTGATGAATTTTTGGTTTTGTTATTATAAGTGCTGAGAATGGCTCTTCACACAGATGATGTGGACGAAGTGGCAGAAGTGTGTTCAGGTCCATTGTATACATTATATACACACATACATTGTATACATTGTGGAAATTCCTTGTGAAATCAGATATCTAGAGGACAGCAAGATGGCTCAGGGAGTATAAAAATACACACACACACACAAACAAGTAAAACAACAGCAACACTGGAGTGTTTAAAGATAAATGATGACGATGTCATTGATAACCTGGACCGCCGTACAGTTTAAATGTGTTCATTACAGTATATCTAGGAAGGAAGTTAAAATGTCACTAATACAGTCCCTGTCTCTCCCTTCCTCCCTCCTCCCCTTTCTCTTTCCTCTCCTCTTCCCTGAACCCCATCTTCTCTGTCCCAGCTTCCCATATAGCCAGAATTACAATCCCAGACCACCAGGTTCAATATTAGGAAGGTTTCTGATCAAATGTTTAATAGTAAATAATACTGACGGGCAGCATTGTTCAATCTTTATATGTAAAACCCAGTCATACAGAATAATTCCTTTGCTGAAATTTTTCTTTTAGGAATCATCAGATCTTTCAGCTATGTGTCTAAAGTGTCTAAAATCTTTTTTTTTAAGATTTGAATAGGGGTTGCTAACAAAATGGTTCAGTGAGTCAAGAACTTGCTATGCATGTCTGACCACCAGAGTTCAATCCCTGGGACTTACATAGCATAGAACACTGACTCCATCAAGCTGCCCTCTGACCACACATGTGTATCATGACACATATGCACCCTTACACATTATACACCCCGGCAGTTAGCAAATCATTGATGTAGGGTGATGGAGGCACACACCTTTAGTCCCAGCACTCGGAAGGCAGAAGCAGGTGGATCTCTGTGAGGTCCAGGATAGCCAGGACTGTTACACAGAGAAACCCTGTCTCGAAAAACAAAAAATTCTTAATAAAAATGCTAAACTGAGTGGTGTTCATGACCTCACCTATGCTACATAAATATTTGAAAATGGTAAACTAAAAATATAATCTTTGGAACAAGGAGATTAAGTAAAAAAAAAATCTTAAAACTACTAGGTTAAAGAATGATTATAAAAATTAGGGATGTGGGCTGGGGGGGTGGTGGCACACGCCTTTAATCCCAGCACTCGGGAGGTACAGGCAGGCCTGGTGTACAAGAGCAAGTTCCAGGACAGGCTCCAAAGCTACAGAGAAACCCTGTCTCAAAAAAGAAATTAGGGATATAGTTATATATATATTAAATATTTTGCATTTTGGTAAGTTTTTGTTTCTGTTGTTGTTTTGAGAATCTTATTTCCTAGCCTAGGCTAGCCTATATCACTGGAGCCTTCTGCCCCATCTCTCAAATTACCTGGGATTACAGGTGTGTACCACCACTCCCTGTTGGTGAATTTACTTCCCCAAATGTACTTGAAATTATTTTGCTTGTTTTTTTTAAATATTGACTTATATTTTATTGAATATTACTTGCTATGATGAACTATTTTATTTCTTGTAGGTTAGTGATACAGTAAACAGTGCAAAAACTGAGCACACAGCCATGAAGGGGACCTCACTGAAAAGCAAACCAGACTTCAGAGCAGCCGACTCTAATGCTGGCTTGCATTCGCCTTTGGCGCCTAATGCTCCTCATAACAACAGCTGTGTGGCAGATGTGCTCTGGAAGAGTGAAGGTACAAGGTCGCCTTTCAGTAAAGCCCAACTTTATAGCACTGGCAGAGAGGTGCAGAGTCGCTGTTGGTGCTGTGTCGCGAGACTGGCCTGGAACTAGCAGACCATCTGCCTCTGCCTCTAAGTGCTGGGACTAAAGGCCAGGACTTAATGACGGTTTTGTTCACTTTCTTCACAGTGAACCTCAGTGACAGACTGTAAGGATGCAATTTAGTCAGGGAATTGTTGTTGACATTGATTTTGGTCAGTGTGACTGTCCTTGTGCCTGTTCTGTCACTTTGTAGCTGTATGAGGTTTGTTCATCTTGTTCCTGTTTCCACGCTGCTGAGATGTGGGCTGGATGGAGAGCTGTCATTTAGTAATAGCTGCCTTGCAGGTGTCTGGATGACAGTAACTCAGCAGTGGGGACTTAATTAATCACTTGATTCATAAGACAGCTCATACTTTTGTTATTTTTTATCTGAATATTCTGTTGTACTTTGTTTTTTTTATAACAGGATCTCACTCTGCAGCCCATACTAGCTGTCCTCACTATTGTAGCCTGGGCTGACCCAAAATTATGATCCTCCTGCCTCGGTCTATAAAGTGATGAGATCGTAGACATGATCTACCATGCCTGGTTAGAGTCAGGTACCACTGAGATACATATCAAATATTGCTTGGGATTTCAATATCTAAAATTATTTTATGAATTTTAATTCTGGATTGGGTGGTGGTGATGCACACTTTTAATCCCAGCACTCAGGGAAGCAGAGGCAGGTGAATCTCTGTGAGTTCAGGGCCAGCCAGGGCTACACAGAGAAACCCTGTCTCGAAAAAACAAACAAATAAATAAAAATTATTCTGGTATATCCTTGGAATAGAAATGTAGCTTTTTAATTTTAAGATATTATGATAGCTATTCTAAATCTAATTGTTCAGGGATTCAAATATAACCGAATAAACATTTTTTAATATTTATTTATTTATTATGTATACAATATTCTATCTGTGTGTATGTCTGCAGGCCAGAAGAGAGCACCAGACCCCATTACAGATGGTTGTGAGCCACCATGTGGTTGCTGGGAATTGAACTCAGGACCTGTGGAAGAGCAGGCAATGCTCTTAACCTCTGAGCCATCTCTCCAGCCCCCAGAATAAACATTTTTTATTTCCATTTTGAACAGTAGATAAAAATACTACAAAAAGGTTATTTCCTATACTGTTCTTATTGCTCTGCTTACACAAAAGGAGCACTTTTGTTGATTTTCCTTCCTTTTTGCTTGTTTGTTTTTATTCTATTTTTTGTTTTTGTTTTGTTTATTTTTAGAGGCAGGGCTTTTCTGTTTAGCCCTGGCTGTCCTGGAACCAGCTCTGTAGACCAGGCTGGCCTCAAACTCACAGAGATCCTCCTGATGCTGTCTCCCAAGTGCTGGGATTCAAGGCATGCGCCATAATCACTTGACTTTTATTTTATTTTTTCTTTTGAGATAGGCTCACTGTGTATCCCAGACTAACCTATCCCAGGCTATCTGGCCTCAAGCTCCTAGTGATTCTCCTGCTTTACCCTTCTACGTGCTGGGATATAGGTGTGGTCCACTACACATGGAAGGGTCACTTTCTTTCTTGATGTAAAAGTATTATTTGGTATAGATACACTTGGCCCTAAACTTAAATAGTTTAAAATTTCTTATTTGTAATTTTCTGTTTTACAAAGACGTTTATATGCTGGAAACAAACTCCATCTTGAGATTTCCAGATCCTCAGTAAAATTGTTCCTAAGCAAATAGTAAAGGACAGTGCCTGAGGCATGGTAAACACCTGTGACGGGAGAGTGACACTGTGTGCAGAGTGGAAGACCTGCCGGTGTGTCCTCAGGAGTAGCGGAGTGATGTGATTACATTTGCGCTCTCACTGAAGGAAACCTCGGACTGTACCAGAGGAAGGGATGCTGTAGGCAATAACTGAAAGATTGGGTGGGGCTTCTTTTAGTCCTCTCGGATGGATGTACATAAAGACAAAACAGTGGCAAGACAGAACAGAGAAAAAACATTTTAGAGGCTCTTAGAAAGGTTTATTAATTAGATGTGACAGCTGTTGGTTATGAGAGAAAAAAGCAAATCAAATAAGACTTTTTAGTTGAACATCAGAATGAACACTGACCTCATCAGAATGAAAATGGCAGGAGCAGGAATTCAGCTGTGAACTCAGCTGAGGTCCTGGGCAGTTGAGTGTATAGGTGTGAAGTCTCAGAGGCGGCTCTCAGCTGTACATACAGATGGAGAAGCTGTCTAAAATGTAAGCTCCACAGGAGCAGAGGCCTTGTTGACATGCTCGCTGTGAGATTCCCAACAGCCAGTGGTTGACTGCTGAGTGACTTGTGTTTGCAGCACGGGTGCATGCAGAGAAGGAACACCAGATAGAAGGTCACCCAACTGAAGACACCGAGAAAAGATAAATGTTGGGAAGGGGGTTGGTTTTTGTTTAAGATGGGCATTATGCTTTGTGACTCTTTGTATACATGTGTTTACTAGATGATCCTTCACCATCACAGAAATAAACATAATGCCCTACAGGAAGCCTTCAGTATTGTGGGATAAATGAATATTACCCATAGGCATCACTGTTTATCTTCCACAACGGTAGAGAAGACAGAAAATGAGTAGGATCACAAATGTATTTCTAGTTTAGGCAGAGAACTCATGCCGCCCCGCACACACACACACATGCACACACCCTGGAACTGAGTGACAAGGCCATTTGCTTATAGCTTAGTAGTAAACAGTGTCAGTTTAGAGTGGAAAAAAGCTGCGATGTCAGACATCCATGACAGGTCCAGTGCACCCTTTTCTAAACATGTTCTACCCAGTGGTTAATCCATTTCAGAGTGTGTGTGACTCTGAAAACTGAAAGCACCAAGAAGTACACAACAAGCCAGGTGGTGGTGCACACCTTTAATCCCAGCACTCAGGAGACAGAGGCAGGAGGATATCTGTGAGTTCGAGGCCAGCCTGGTCTACAGAGTGAGTTCCAGGACAGCCAGAGTGATACATAGAGAAATTCTGTCTTGAAAAACCAAATTCATACACAGACACAAAGTTTTTTTTTTCTTTGACTTTTTTTGGTAAGATATCACTATGTAGCCTGATCTAACTTGAGATCCTCCTGCCTCAGCCTTCTGAATTCTGAGATTATAGATGTGGATCTCTGCATCCAACTGTAGCTCTTACTCACCTCAATTTTAAACAAGGTCTTGTTGCCTGCCATGTTGTCATCCTTATGCTACACTGAGGTACCATCCCTCATCCCAGTTTATTCCCTGCTTCTTTATGTTAAATCAGCACACACTAAGATGCAGCTTATCTCCTCTACTGTGAATAAATTCAACAAACTTTTTCCCTTAGGAAAGATTAGTCCAGGGGCTGGAGAGATGGCTCAGAGATTAAGAGCACCAGATGCCCTTCCAGAGGTCCTGAGTTCAATTTCCAGCAACCACATGGTGGCTCACAACCATCTGTAATGAGATCTGGCGCCCTCTTCCGACCTTCATGCATACAAGCAGGCAGAGCGCTGCACACATAATAAGTAGCTGAATCTTAAAGATTAGTGCAGAGGATTAGCAGTCCTCCGAGCCTGACTGATTGCTGACTTTGTCACTGGTTCTCGTGTTCTTGGAGCTGGGTTTCATCCTTGGTAAACGTCCTCTTTCACTCTAGCCGTCATAAACCCTTATGAAAGGAACATTGTGATTAGTTTGATTGATTATTGATATCTCTGGTTATATTTCCCAGGTGTGTGTGTGTGTGTGAGAGAGAGAGAGAGAGAGTGTGTGCACATGCGTGCATGTGTCTACAGATGTGCATGTGTGTGCATGCAAAGGCTAGAGACACCTTGTGTGTCTTCCTCAATCCTTCTCCACCCTGTTTTTTGAGATAGGATCTCTAATTTGTACGTAAAGCTTGCTAATTTAGCTAAGCTGGCTAACCAACAAGCCCCAGAGACCTGCCTCTCTCTGCCTCCCCAGCACTGGGATAATAGGATCACGCGCAGGTTTTTACGTGGGTCCTGGGATTGAACTCACTGAGCCATCTCCCAGGCTTCTAATCATGGTAAACATGCACACTATGGACTCCAAGTGTTTGGGGCATTAAATACCCTCTGTATTTATGAACTGTCTTTTAATATGTCTGAGTGATTATTGAATACTAAACTGATGGTTTGATTTTCAGTTGATGAAATATGTGCTCGGCCTGCAACTAAGATGAGCCGTGTAGAGGTGCATGCTGCAGCAGTGCCGTTCTCTGTAAGTACATGGTCTGCTGGTGATGCATGGCATGGATGAGGATGTGTGTTTGAATACAGAGGCTCTCGGGGCTCAAGTAGTGAGGAATTGATTTAAATTCAGAAGTAGGGTGATGAGAAGGAAGTGTTCATAATATATTTAGTGAAAAAAGATGGCTACAATAATAATGCATATTTTGTCCCAGTTTGGATGTAAAAATTCATTTAGTACACATATTTCACACTGAGTATACCAACTCACACTGCACTCACAGTTGCTAGGGGACTATCTCTGGGTGTGAGGCCACAGATAATTTTAATATTCTTCTCCATGCTTTCTCTATTGTATGAACATACATACATACATGTGCATTAATGTAAATTACATTAATGGTTAAAAGAATTTGTTAAGGGAACAGAAGTACTTGAATAACTACTTAATAGGAGACAACAGAACATTACTATAATAGGTTGACATACATGTAGACTAGCCCAAAATTCGGACATTGAGTTGTTTTATGGATGGTCATAATGCATATTGCCAAACTTTAGTGCTTGCTACATGTCTTAACGGATACACTAGGATTGCCTTAATTAGATAAAAATGAGGATCATGCATCAGACTGTTTTTAGGGTTAATAAAACAGTCATTTCACTTTATTGCTGCAATTTTATTTGATTTCTTGCTTGTCTTTTAGAATCTTTAAGAATTTTCCATAATTTTTTCTTTTCTTTCTTTCTTTCTTTCTTTCTTTCTTTTTTTTTTTTTTGATTTTGATCTTGTGTTTTCCTTCATTGGTTTTCACCTTTCCAGAACATTAAGTCTGTGTTTGCAGACTCTTCTCGGGGAAGGGTTATTAAATGGAGAGATTTCCCTTCTGGATCTGTCCTGTGCATGTCAGTCACAGTTGTGTTGTTCCTTCAGTCAGAGTCAGCAGGTGCTCCGTAATGGTCTCTGAGGCCTTGTTACAGCACAGCGCAGGGAGCCGAGCTCAGAGCTGCTCCTAGTCCGAGTCACAGGCAGCCATGCGTGTGCACTTAAGTCAGAAATAAACACGGAAGTGCACTTTGGTTTTGAGCTTCTGGGAACAGTGTCCCATTTAAAAGAAGATGGTTTTAAAAGGTTAGTTCCAGGGGTAGGATAACGCACCACCAAAAGTAGCATAAGTTGGAGGAGGTCTGTTTCTGCAGCAGAGAGAGGTGTGCAGCTTACTCTACTCTTTCAGCACATAGTGAAGCACATTCACATTACATTTCAATCTTGAACATTTTTTCTCCGTTTAGGTTTGGAGAAGCACAGATATTTCACATACAAAGATAACTGGATCTCTGCTTGTTGGTTTTGAACCTAAAGAAAAGGCCAACTTGGAATGGAGCTTCCTACCTGTTCCTGCTGGAGCAGATAGTAGCATTCTCTGAAAGGATTATACTTTCTGAGGGTCTCTGAAATGACAGCTGGCATTTTAACCTGCCACTGATGGGGAAACACGCTAACTGCAGCCAGGTTAATAGTAGCGGGCTCTGTGGAGAGTCCTGTTACACCATGGTGAATTGGCATCCCCATCCCATTTAGTGGCCCAGTCTGTTGAGACCGTGTTGGTTCTGAGCTAATGTTCATCATGAGCTGGTAATGTGTGCTCTTCACTCATGAACGCTCTTGACAAAAGTCTTGACATTTCTGTACTCAATAAGGTCTTCATAAATTTTCCTTTCTCTAAAATTAGAAAGAGACACCTTCAAATCCAGTGGCCATTTTGAAAACAGAACATCAATGGTGTGATGTGGGAATTTTTAAAAACAACACCGCTTTGGTGAGCCAGTTTTACTTGCTGCCAAAAGGAAAACAAAGTATGTCAAAGGTAACTGTTGGTGTTTTTTTTTACATTTTGAGGGCTGAGGATGTAATTGGCAGGATGCATGTCTAGCATGTGTGTAAGTTTGGCTACAATTCCTGACACTTCAAAAAGCAAGCTAAATATACAAAAAGTGAATTATGAACCCCGAGAATGAGATTAGTTTTAATAACTCTGATTTCGGTCATTTGAGGGAAGGAAATTGAGATCTTTCCAAGGTGTATTATCGAGAGCTCTGCATATGTAATCATCTTACATTCTTTAATGCTGCCTTTGTAATATGACACCATCATTTAAAAAATACTTTGCCAGGTGGTGGTGGCTATACCTTTAATCAGGAAGCAGAGACAGCCAGGTTCACACAGTGAGTTTCAGAACAGCCAAGGATACACAGAGAGACCATTTTAGAAAAAGCAAAAGACAAACAACCACAATGAGGAAAACCTGCTTCAAGCTGGGCATGGTGGCACACATGCTCAGTAGGCAGAGGCAGCAGATCTCTGTGAGTTTGAAGTCAGCTGAGTCTATATAGTGAGTTCCAGGACAGCCAGGGTTACATGGTGAGAACCTGTCACAACAAAAAAGAAAGCTGTTCCCAATTATTTCAGATAAGGGGTACCCCGTTACCCTATCTGTCTCTCTCAGCACACGCGTGAAATCTCGTTATCTTGTACACACATCATCTATCAGTTTAGTTTCTCTGGCAAAGCTTTTTGGCATTCTTCCCTCTTTTTCACATTGAATATTTTTAATCACTTTATTTTATTATTGTTGTTATTTAGTTTTTTTGGACAGGGTTTTCCTGTATAGCTCTGGCTGTCCTGGAACTGGCTCTGTAAACCTGGCTGGCTGCCCTCAAACTCACAGAGATCCGCCTGCCTGTGGCTCCCAAGTGTGTGTGCCACCACCACCTGGCGAATATTTCCAGTTCTTGATTTTATAAAAGTCTAGTAAGCCATCATTACTTTTATGGCTACTGAAATCCCTGGCTGGGGATGAATCTGTGTCCATATAAGGTTATATCCATCGTAAAGCATGCTAGCTACCTAATTTTTCTTTAAGAACAAAAGATCAAAATATGCAGCTAGTAAACTTGAGTTTGAGTTTCTAGTTCCAGTATTCCTCAGTGTGAACAGAAGCAAGTCAGTTGTCTGACCTCTCTGAGGCCTGGTATCTTCCTGTACAGTAGAGATGAGCAGGCTTTAGACGGGATGCTCTACTGCCACTCTGGTGCCACGGTGTGCTGATGTTAGGAAGAGCAGCCGCCAGATGATTGGAAGGTACAGATGTGAGGGTATTGCCACCCAGGAGCATAGCATTATTTAACATCTGTTCAGTGTCCTGAACTCCCAGAGATCCGCCTGCCTCTGCCTCCCAAGTGCTGGGATTAAAGGCGTGTGCCACCACCACCCGCCCTTAGTCTCTCCTTTTCTGCAGGCTTGCTTCCCTGTCTCTAAAGGCATTGCTTCCAGGAAGACAGTTGTGTGACAGACAGCAGGTCTAAAATTCTTCTCCACGTCAAGTTCACGTGGGGATGGGGATTTGTTTTGTTTGTTGTGGTATCACTTCTGGTTTTTTGTTTTAGTTTTTCCTGCCTTTCCCCTTAGAGTCAGAGGTTCAGATCATCTTCCATTGGATATGAATCTGATTCAGGAAGGGCCTTGATGGGTTCTGTAGTAGAGATTTACCCTTGGAGTAAGAGAGGGAAATACATGATGGAATTGGATTCCTCAAATACAGCTGTTTCTTCAAAAGTTTTGTTGTCTAATAACAAGTAATTATAGCTTTGTAATAATAAATGTACCTTCTTTTCTGACTCGTGTATCCCTTGCATTTTAGGTAGGAAATGCAGATGTGCCTGACTACAGTTTACTAAAAAAACAGGATCTTATTCCTGGAACCGTTTATAAATTCAGGGTTGCTGCAATCAATGGTTGTGGAATAGGCCCTTTCAGCAAAATCAGTGAATTTAAAACGTGTATCCCTGGCTTTCCTGGAGCTCCTTCTACAGTCCGGATTTCCAAGGTAATCGGTCAGGTCCAGTCAGGCTTGTCAGTGGTGTGAATGATTCAAAACTTCTGTGTTTACAAATTTTTACTAGCACTCGTGGAAGATCCCTCAGAGAGGTGGGTTAAATTTGTAAATGTATGTTTAGGGAGCCATGCATGGTATTTTTCAACCCCAAATTACAAGCAAGTAGAGTTTCAGCATGAAGCCACAGGGCTGGAGATGAGTTTGTATTGTCTTGTTTCCACCAGGCGGAGCTCATGGAGAGTTTGAAGTTTTAGAACATATGAAGTTGATTGTATTTTTATAAATATCTCTTGCCCTCTGTTAAGGAAGAAAACCCCTTTTGGGGGACACAGTAGACAGAGTGTGGACACTTCAGTCTCACTTGGTGAAGTGTATGTCAACTCCAGAGCCGGTGACAGTAAAGTCGTAGTCAGCGGTTGTGATATCCAGCGCAGTGACAGAGGGCAGGCTCTGTGTTCTAAGACAGGATAAGTGATATAGAGTCTCCGGTTCTTCTCTAGAATGTCGAAGGGATCCACCTTTCCTGGGAGCCTCCAACTTCACCTTCTGGAAACATTTTGGAATACTCAGCCTACTTGGCTATCCGCACAGCACAGATGCAAGATAATCCAAGCCAGCTTGTGTTCATGAGGATCTACTGTGGCCTGAGAACCTCATGTGTCGTGACTTCTGGGCAGCTCGCAAATGCACACATTGACTACACGTCTCGACCTGCCGTTGTGTTCCGGATATCGGCCAAGAATGACAAGGGCTACGGACCAGCCACGCAAGTTCGGTGGCTCCAAGGTAACAATAAGAAGGCTCCTTTGAGTTGAGTTGTTTTTATTAACGCTGTTGTGATGGTTATTTATTAGTAACTGGTTATGAAGATGTGTTCTTTGAGAGTATTCTCTGACTGTATTTCTAGCAGTTATGAATTTGAGTTTGTAAATTGTTCTTCAAATGTATTTGCTCACTTCTAGATCCCAATAAAAATAGAAAGAAGCAAAGACTGAAAATTAGTATATGGATTCTTCCTTACCCATGTAGCTACTCATAAAGAAAAAATAGCATAGCAAAGATAAAAGCTGTAAGGTGCATTGCCCCTTATCTTTTATGAAGGCTCTGCAGCAACTGAGTTGAGTCTAGGAAGTGGCTGTTGTATGCCTTGCTGTGGCGAAGGTGGGCCCCATGGTAAATGCCCTTCAGCTCTGCCCAGGAGCAGGTGCTCTTCCACCAGCTGCTGCCCAGTGCACAGGTTTTCTGCACTGACCTTAGTAGCCACTTTATTCCCTTATTATAGTTCTCACAAGCTTAAGAAATTAAAAGAAAAAGACAAGCTCAGGAACTCTGTTTTTATTTCCTGAGAATCATAGCAAACTATGAAAATGGTAGTGGCTAGTCTTCTATATATGACCACTATATCTGAATATATCTTCAGCTAAAGCACTCAACCTGTCTGGCCCTTAATGCCTGCACTAGCAGGTGAAGGTCCCTTTCAGCTCTAAACTGTGTTTCCCCTAGAAGTTGGGTGCAGCCTGCACACTGTGCTTGTCAGCAGTCTTCCTGGCTGTCCAGCTGTGCTGTCCGTCACTTCAGTAGAAAGCAGAGCGTGTCCTCCTCTTGAAGAAGTAAGCACCTTAATAGGACACAAGTTTTTAAATAGTGTTTTAAACATTTGTAAGATTTTTGTAAATGCCTAGATGTTTTATTTTTGCATTATTTTTACCTCAAAATTGTTTACGCTTTTTTATACCAGAAATAAAAGCATTAGACAGCCAGTCCAGGCTCCTGACCACCGAGAGATGCCGATAACCCTGTGACCATTGGCTGCAGGTGACTTTCTTTACACCTTCTCGAGTCTCAGTTTGAGTGCATAGTCAGTTTGGAAATGAGTATGTGTAGAGCAATAACTGCAGAAGATATTTCAGGCTGAGAGCTGCCGGGACTGGAGGAGCGCAGGTCTAGCTAGCTTGCTTTGCCACACAATCTCAATGCCAGTGTAGAGGGCTGAGCAGCTGTGCCCTCCAACTTTACATATGATATGCCCAGTGAAGATGACTCTAATTGTGAAGAATTGATATATATGCCAGTTACTAACTTAAAGTGTATAGAATATTTTAATATATGATTTTTGTAAAGACTGGGATTTTTATACTACAGTATTTGTAATTAATGTGTCTCACTAATTAAATTTCTCTTGAAGAAAATATGCAAATTGTTAGACACACGAGTGATCTCTGAGCACTCGTCTGGTGTTGGTAGGAGACCTTTCTGGGGCACATGGATCCTTAGTCATTAAATAGGTACTTTCCAAGCAGTGTTTACAAGGAGCACCTCTGGTTGGTCATCTAGCAGCTCCCGTGGGAGAGTCACCCGCCTTCATTTCACGTGTGTGCTTTGCTTTGGGCAGTGCTTGCTTCTTGCACTAGTAGACTCTGAACTTACCTCATTGTTATGTTTATAGTCATTTGTGTAGCTTCCATGATGTGTTTGATAGAAGCTAAACATGTTTTAACCAAAGTTACATGGTATGTATGCAGATTTGCACATAGGGAGTGGCAGGCTTTGTTGTACGCGTGTGCTCAGCTTAGAAGAATAGCCAGTTACAGGAAGTGTATGCTTCAAGCCCAATTACTTTACTAGAAAATCTTGTCTTTCAATCTCTATTCTCTGCATTAACAGTTTACATCTTGAAACATTTATCTTATTGTTGAGGAATAAAATTGATGTAAAGCAGACTAGAATGTTGGTTTTGTGTGTGCACTTTTTTTTTATCTATTTAGTATGTGACATAGTTTATTTTGCTTAAAGAAATCTTCTATTGTAGACCAGGAGACAGATAGGAGCCCATGGTTCTAACGTACAATTTGCTTCTTTGACAAAAGAGTGGCCTTTATATACCAAGCGATTTGTTAAAATAATAAACCTTTTTTCCTTGAGAATTGCCCAAATGGTATCTTTTTCATCATTGGCCTACTTCCTTAAGCATAAGTCATGTTTGTTTCTGTACCGGGACTCGTGACTGAAGGGACGCGCTTAGCAGGTGTGTGTGGCTTTGGTGTTAGCAGATGCTGCATAGGACCCTGCACGCCGGCACAGGCATGGAGCTCACGAGTACGCGCACACTGTGAAGCTGTGGTCTGCATCATGCAGACTTGGTTTTCTTTTCCCACATCTCTTCCTCCTTCCTCTTTTTTTTCCTTAATGCTGGGGATTGAACTTGGGGCCCTGGGCAACTAGGCTGGTGCCCTACACCAAGCTACACCCCACCCGGGCAGATAATCTCTTACTAAGAGGATCAACATTAAGTTAAATTTCTTTCTTTCCTCTGCGAGCTGCATAACCATCTGTGTCACAGCCTCTGTCCTGTGTTCCGGACTTTGGTTCACATAGGAAGTAAAAATATCGTATGCTCTTAGAATTGTTTTCTAAAATACTGTATTGACTTTATTTTAGCTTAGCAAATTATTTTGGCAATTTAACTAGAAATAAGTTATATATAAACTCAATCTTTATTTAAAGATTAAAATCTAATTGCATGTATGAGGCACTTTTGCCCCGTAATCCAATTACATGTATAATCATCTGTAGAGAAGTAAAACTGTTGATCAGTTATTTCAAAGACTTGTAGACTAGCAAAGGTGGGTTCTTCTTGAGCGTGTGCTATAACAGGACTTTTATTTTAAAGTGATAGCACTTATAACATGAAGACCGTTTGCTCCATTCTGTCGGGAGTGGTCAGTGTTTGGAGCTCCTGTAGTCATCTACTCCCCATGGAGAGACCGCAAGTAGGCTTGGCTTTGCTGTCTGAGGTGGGACTGGTATTTCCTAGGACTGCTTGTGTGCCAATGATATGGAAAATAAATGCCCCTTTTCTATAAACCATTAGAAATGTTATTATTTCTTTTGAGTGGTGCAGAGTAGTGATGGCAGAGCCAGTCTGTGGGATGCTGGTGCGTGTGCCGTTCACTTGACACAAAGGTAGTCTCAGCTGAAGATGGACGGTCTAGACACTGAAGTTAGATAGTGGGCAGGAGTCATTTTCTCCAAGATTTGATCCCTACTTGCCCCCTGCTGTGTTACAATTGTGCTGAGCTGTGTGCGGGCACACAGACAGATGGCTCCAAGAAAAGTCTAGACTTGTCTCCCCTTTGGAGTCTTCTGTACGTGTGGAGCTGTCTTTCCTTTAAGCTTCTCACCCTTCTTGCTTCACAGCAGCCAGGTCCGACCCTGCTACTCCGTTGAGCTGGCTTTAACAAAAATCAGGCAGAATGCCGCATTTTCAGATCTAGGAGGCTCTCTCCTTGCACTGCTTCTTGGCATCTGCCCAGTTCCTCATGCCTGTGATGCACATGTGTCGCTCTTTACTCTTCGTCCTGTCTGCAGTCCACGTTTCCACTCCTGCCATTTTTATGAACTTGACCAGCCTGACCACACTTTCCCTGGCCTCCTCCACCTTCATGGGGCTCCAGCTGCTGCACAGTCTCAAAAACGTTGTCCCCTTAGTTGTTAGCATTGTCCCTTTCTGGTCTCTGATGGTGGGTGTTTGCACAGAGACTGGGTTTTCATGCTCTTCCATCCTGGGCCATTAATAGCACGTAAATAACTGAACAGGCTGGTGAAGACATTGGCCACCCTTGGAGTCTTCCGTTCCCCAGTCTCAAGCCATGATCCGAATGGGGTGGTTCAGGGAGAGTGGCTCTAGTGTATTTATGACACTGGGGACATGGACGTTTCAGCTTTGTCTTGCCTTAGCTGCACTGGGTTCCTAACTAAGGAAACTACAAGATAAATAACGGATTAAGGAGGGTCTAATCTTCAGTTGTTTGAGGATGTAATGAGATTGGTGGGCATAGAGACACTAGAAGATCAGAATGATCTAGAAATCTGTTAGACTAAAAATCTCTTGGTTTTTTGTTGTCTTTTTGTATATTTTTTGTTTTGAGACAGGGTATCACTGTGTAGCCCTGCCTGTCCTTAAACTTACCATGAAGACCAGGCTGTCCTTGAACTCCCAGAGATCTGCCTGCCTCTGCCTCCTGAGTGCTGAGATTGAAGCCGCGCGCTACCACATGGGGCAGAAATCAGTCATTTATTCTGACACTAGAAAGCTAGGTAGCGGTTTAAGCACAGAGAGCTGCTGGGGACTGACGGCTGGCTTAGAACTGCACTCCTGCTGCTCTCTGGGGTGGGCAGGCCAGTGTCGGTCCTTGTAAGCTTGCTGGGCACGCTACTGCTGCGTTTCATTCTATAACCTAGGCTGACCTGGAACTCCTGGCAGTCCTCTGCCTCTCAGGTGCTGGCTTACAGGCCTGAGTCACCGCACTTGGTTTACGGTTCTTACTCACAGGGAAGCAAGATGCCCTTGGCTTCCTTCCTTCAGGTATAGTTAGAATTACAAGTCTCTGACTTATATATTTCTGTAACTACAATGTATTATTCTGATCATGCATGGAAAAACAGACTGTAGTGTCCTGGGAGAAATAAAAAGAGGTCTGTACAGGGAATGAAAGCTGTAAAATCTCAGGACAGTTAACCTCCTGGTTCCAAACGGCTCTCTACCTCCCTATCCGTGTGCTGCTCTGTCCTTGGCAGAACTAAAATTTAAGAGAAAGAAAATGTATACTTGGGGAGGTCTCCCGATCCTAACAGGTTGATCTAGTAAAACAAAGCGTGGCAGGTGCTTGGCAGAGTTTGGAAGCTCCCAGTGTTGGATGCATTCCAATTGCCCATTCCAATTCAATGTGATGAGATTCTGGGTTGTGCAGCCAGCGAGGTGTGTGCACACGTGTGTTGTTGGTGGGACAGCCACAGCAGCTCCTGCTACTGGTGTTAGGTAGAGCTGAGTGTTGCTGCCATGACTAGTTTGCCCTGAACCACTCCATAAACCAAGCAGAGAAAAACTTCAGCTGCTGATGGCTTCAATACTTCAAGAGCTCTTTTGTTTTTCAGATTTCTGAATTGAAGACCAGAATTTTTAGTGAATTCCCTGAACTAGGAGAAATTG